TACTCCTTACCTTTACATATTCTGCTTTTAAGTTATATTGATATTTGATGTTATATAAACTGTAGATACATAGAAAGAGGCAAACCAGATTCTGGTTTTCCTCTTTTTGAGTCTGAATCCCTCAAGTGGCCTGGCTTTGTGGAATTTGATGATGTCAATGGGAAAGTTCTTACCTATTCAGCAGAAGATAGGTACCTTTCTTTTTATAAAATATTACATTTTCCTAATTTGGCTGTGTAAATGTTGTTGCTGATTTCTATTTTCTTCTTGTTTTTAGCATATACAAGGTGTTTGACTTGAAGAATTATACACTGTTGTACTCTGTAGCAGACAAAAATGTAGAAGAAATCAAGATCAGGTTTTGTATAGAATAGTGTTTACATTTGGTCTTGAAGTATATAAATTCAGGGATAATATTCACAATTATAATAATGATTTTTGTTTTATGACACACAGCCCTGGCATCATGTTATTGATTTACAGTAGGGCTGCAAGTCATGTTCCTCTTAAAATACTATCAATTGAAGATGGAAGTGTTTTAAAAGATTTCAATCATTTACTTCATCGAAACAAAAAGGTGGAATTCATAGAGCAATTCAACGAAAAGCTTCTTGTTAAGCAAGAAAATGAAAATCTCCAGATTCTTGATGTATGTTCATATATCATTTTTATGGATGTTGTTAGTTACATATACTTTATTTATTAACTTATTGAAATAAATAGGTAAGAAATGCTGATGTGAAAGAAGTTGGAAGAACAGAGTTCATGACACCATCTGCATTCATATTTCTATATGAGAATCAACTGTTTTTAACATTTAGAAACCGAAGTGTTTCTGTTTGGAACTTCAAAGGAGAGCTTGTGACATCATTTGAGGATCATGTGTTATGGCATCCAGATTGTAATACTAATAACATCTACATAACTAGTGATCAAGATCTTATAATTTCCTTCTGCAAGCCTACTGATTCAGATGATCAATCCACTATCTATGGAGATGGAAAAGGTACATTCAACATTTTTATTAAATATATATTAACATCTCTCATGTCATGTCATATATATATATATATATATATATATATATATATATATATATATATATATATGGATATGGTTGTTGATGATGATGCATGCAGTTGGTTCGATTAATGTAAGTAACATATGGACTGGAAAATGTGTGGCTAAAATAAACTGGAGGAATGCGTGTTTGAATGAAGAAGATGAAGATGAAAGGAGGAAAGTTGCAGGGGCACTTGAAGAAGTGACAGCTCTTTACTATGATGAAGAACGCAATGCCATTTATACGGGTAATGCTCATGGTTTGGTTCATGTTTGGTCTAATTGAATTTAGAATGCAACAGATTGTCGACACCTGGCATTGGTTTTTTCTTTTTTAAGTTAAATAGTTTTATGTGTGTGTATATATGATGATGATGATGCTACATATAGCATATGGTGTTTATATATACGTTTAGAGAGGTTATGTTATTGTTGAGTAATGGTATTGAGACTACAACTATTGATGAGGTCTTGTGGTTCTTATTCTTTTTTATTGCATTGACTTTTTGAGTTGTTGAATCTTGACTTGTTGTAATTTTGGAGCTTGCTAAAAAGAGTTGACACATTAGAGGTATTGATTTTGTCACTCCCCTTCAACATAGTGATAAAGGTGTCCTAATTGTGATTAAGACTTAAGAGGGTTCATAAACTTATGGATTGTTTTAAAATCTATCTTGTCCATGGCAAGCTTTTTCTTATCTTTCACCAAAATGTCAAAACATGTGTGTATTGGTGAAAATGATTATTTCATACAGATTAACTGTCAAATAATAATTCTTAAACTAATTTGCATATAAAACAATACAATAATATGTACATCTACTAGAATCATGTCATTCATTGGCCACATGAATAAAATTAAATATAATTTTCAATTTAGTGTTAATTGTTACATGATTAATTAATTTAAAAATTATTTATGTTGCTATTTTTTATTTCGATCATATGATAGATTATTTGAATTTTCGACAACATGTTGTAATTTATAGTTTTATGTTAATATAGAAGACTAAAATCTTACATAGAAAATTTTTATTTTCTTTACATTTGTATCATACTAATGAACTAATTTATAATAATTATTAAAAACATTTGAAAAGTTGAGGGAGTTTCAATATGGTGCAAGAAAGTTGGCATCTATTAATATAGATACATAAAAGAAAAACTTGCAAGCTATTTCCAATGATGGTAGCGGCTGTGAAGCCATTTCCAATGATAGAGGTCATGAGACTATTAAAGATAGGGGTTGGTAAGGGAGTGATGATGAGTTTAAGGTAAGATAAAGGGAGAGTAGTGATGGTGGTGGTACTGTGGTGTGTAAGAAACAATGAATTTACTTAATTGTTAATTATACGTAATATATGGGGTTACACAAAAACATTAAAATGGTATGGAATAAATAATATATTTTTTAGTTATAAATTTATTATTTATTGACTAGAATAAGTAAATAAATAATTGGTTATTTATTATATAGCAAATAAAACTAAACAAGATTTATTTATTAATTAGTTTATTTATTAAAGTTGGTAACTTATTTAATGGTAATTAATTAAATGAATTGAATATGTGGGATCAATCATGTATGTCATGTTATGTGCAAGGCATTTTGTACGACTTAAGCATGACGAGTTGATTTCGGACAAATCCTAACAAGACTCATGCAATCAAAAACATTCTCAAATGTTTGAGAGGAATGGGATACATGTTCTTGATTTATGGAGGTAAGGAAGAGCTTGGAGTAAAGAGTTACATTGATCCTAGCTTCTAAGCTAATGAAGACAATTCTTGTTCGTAGTTAGGATTCGTGTCCTTATTGAATGGAGAAGCGATGACTTGGAGGAGTTCCAAATAAGATATCGTAGCTGATTTGACAATATAGTTTGGGTATATTGCAGCTAATGGAGCCGAAAAGGAGGCTATGTGGGTGAAGAAGTTCATCGGATACCTCAGTATGGTTCTAAGCATTGAACATCTCATAAAGATCTACTATGACAACGAGGGTGCATTCGTTTTGGCTAAAGAACACTATTCACACAAACTCACACGGCATACACTCATCAAATATCATTATATTTGAAAGGTTGTAGAAGAAAGAGACCTTATCCATCAACATAATTGCATTGGGCATGAATTTGGCTGATTCGTTTACCAAGTCACTACAATAGACGAATCATGATTCTCACACTAGGTTGGTTGGCATTAGATTTGCAAACGACTTGGTTTGATTAATTTTATTTTAGTTGATTAGATGTCAAGGAACTAAAATTTTTGTATGATATAATGATTATTATATTAAGATCTTAATATATGTTAGGAACAATTATTTTCATTTTGTTCATTATTGCCTTCCATTTGCATTTTTACTTACTTCCTTAAATACTAGTTTATTCGGAATTTCGACATTCATCCCTTTTTATGGAAAGATGTTATGAATTAAGATTGATGTGAGGTATTAGTTAATTACACATAGAGATAGATATTGCATAGAGATGCGACTATACTCACATGTACTTTATAAAGATCAAATATTGGATAACCCGTATTTAGAGATTACTTTATGGATCATGTCGCACATAATTTTAAGATGGTAATATTTTACGTCCTTAAAATAGAGATACATAAGATTCTTGACTTAGTCTACTATGCTTTAGCACAATGTTGTTTGTAACTGTCAACTGTACATGAAATGACCAGGTGTGACATAATGGGTGGGTCAACTGTACATGAAATGACCAGGTGTGACATAATGGGTGGGTGCAGTCTGTCTATGTAGTCAATGTTTATTTATTCCTTCTAACCTATGATAGAAATGATATCATAGGGTCCCTCAATGATTATGCTAACACTAAATGCATGGTCATGCTTAGAATAGATTGGTATTGGATCAATTGTGTAGTGTGTTTTGTTGGTCATCATGAATCTATGTTAGGAAACAAAATATTGAAGGTCTAGATATTGACATCATTTCATGTCTCGCATTTATATATGTACATCAAGAACAAAAGATTGTTTGATAACTTACCTATAAGATTGATTCATACCTTTGGGGATTTGATTTCATTACTTGTTGTGGATAAAATCTATGCTACTTTTGGAGTGCTTCTATGCAGTTGCTTGTGTCATGTGCAAGTGAGAGTTTGTTGGAGATATGCTCATTGACACAACAAGTTGATAACACTACTAATAATACATATGCATATTGAGTTGCACACAGAGGGCAATCTAAAATAACAATAACAATAAATATGGGGATTAGTTTGTTATTCATCAAACTATTGATGGTTTTAGTTAGAAACTATAAAAGAGATAGGCTTCGCTTTGCAATTAGGCATATTTGAATTATGACTAGATGATTATCTATTTAATTAATAGATAATTATGTTATTATTCAAATTGAATTACCTATAAAACTTCTCTTTTGGCATCCCTTTCCAAGCAAATCCCATATTCGAACTCTTTCTCCACCCCCTCTCACATTTTTGGTAACACTTAGCATCTTGCAATTTGTGGTTTTTTTTATTTATAAAAAGCATTCTGCCGTCTAAAAAAAAAAAGAATGTGATTCCATAGGTGAACATGTTCCACTTTTGTTCCTACTGACATTGATTTTTCCAAAATGACATGGTCTTCTATTACCAGTCACAATGTGTTGAGTGTACTGTATACACTCTTCTAATTCCACAGCTGAAGGATATGCTTCAAGTGGGAGTGAAAGGAACATATTCAGAATGAGGTTGTTGGCTGAACTGTTATTGATATTTGTCAACATCTTGTTCATCAAATGAAATCCAACACTCGTATACCACTTACTAGGATGTGCAAAATGGATCTAAGGCTTGCGTCATACAATATTAAGCAAGAACAATAACTTCACAGAATATTTTAAAAAAAAAAAAAAAAAACTATGTAACCACAACTTTTACTTTTAAATCAAACAAACCGTTCGTTTTACCAGTATCCTTTTGTTGCATAAACATAAAAAAGCCTAAGGCTAAAAGTAAAAGTAAAACCCACTCACTCAACCGTGGTGATGCGACCAAAATCGGGAAATGGTAACTAAACATATTGGTGTCATATGTTTTACATTTTTACTGTTTCCATCAAATTATTCAAACGAAAATGTTCCAAACTCCAAATCACCTTTTTTCATCTTTTCCACTTTAATTACTCAATCAATCAATCAACAACTTCAATAAGAGTTGTCTCATAATCATCAGGAGCCACAAACCCATGAAGATTCATCACTGTCGCTGCAACATTTGCTAATCCTCCACTTGGAACATCCTTCCTGAACTTCACCCCCTCTGCTAACCCAGGTCCTCCAATCGCAATTGGCACCTACACATTAACTCAACCATGGTTAATTACTTAAACTTAACTCCCCTTCAATTATTTCTCATTATACCATATATAGTAAGTAGCTAACTTACTGGCTGAAGAGTGTGAGAGGTTAAAATTTGAACATTTCCTTCTTTATCAAGAGCAGGCTCTCCCTTTTTGTTTCTCTTCACCATGTCCTCTGCATTACCATGATCAGCAGTCACCACAAATATTCCACCTACTTGCTCTACTGCATCCAATATCATCTGTTTCACAAAATCAAATTCCTTCATATACAATAAAAAAAATATGTAAAACAATTATCAATTTTCTATTATATCTTTTTTTTTTTTACCTTAACAGCCTCATCAGCAGCCTTGCATGCTACAACAGTAGCCTCAACATCACCAGTATGCCCAACCATGTCACCATTTGGTATGTTCACACGCACCTAAACGCAACATATTATTTCTTTTCCATTTTTTCATTTTGTATTTAAAAATATATTAAAAAAAAATCACTTACCTGGTCAAATCTTCCACTAAGGATAGCATCACGTGCCTTCTCACCAATCTCCAAAGCTTTCATCTTTGGTTGAACATTAAAAGTAATTCCACTATCACTTGGAATCTCAACATATTCTTCCAGCTCAGCATTGAAATATCCAGACCGGTTTCCATTCCAGAAAAATGTCACATGTCCGAATTTCACTGTCTCACTGTTAATCAAAAAGTCAACTCAAGATTCTAGAAATCAAGATTTCTTGAATAACAAATAAATTACCTGCAAGCGAAAGTGCGGACCCCATTATGAACCAAGTATTCGCCAGATGTCCTATCGATCAATGGTGGAGATACAAGGTAGTACTTTGGAAGCTTCAATTCTCCATCATACTGAAGCATACCTGCATACCGGATTTTCGGGACCCGCACTCTGTCAAATTTATCAAACTTTTCATATTCAAGGGCTTGTGCAAGCATGGTCATACGATCTGCACGGAAGTTGAAGGTGACAACAGCATCCCCATCAACAATGGGGCCCACAGGTTTTCCACTTTCATCAACAATCACAAATGGAGGTAAGTATTGGTCATTTGAACCAGGAACTTGTCTTAGTGTCTTTACAGCTTCAACTACATTCTTAAACTTGTGTGGAGCTTCACCAAGAACCTGTGCATCCCATCCCCTTTTCACAACTTCCCAATCATTCTGAAATCAAGAGTTTATGAATTCAATTGGGATGCTTTTGATTTCTTGTAAATAAAACATCAAGATTTGTGATACAGGATTTAGGGTTATCACTTACCTCATAACGATCCATGGTGACATACATGCGGCCCCCACCAGAAGCAACTTGTGCATCAATGCCTTTTTTGCGTAAGTCTGAAAGTTCTGTTTCAAGTGTTTCAGCAAAACCGATACTTGATCCATCAAGAACATCACGCCCATCAGTGAGCACATGGAGACGAATCTTCTTGGCACCACGTTCACTGGCTCCTTTGAGCAACAACTGTAATCCAGAAAGTAGGACATGTCAATATGTCATGTCTCCATCAAGAAAGATGAAGTGAATGCTTGTTGAATAGTTAGTTACAAAGATTAAAGTGAAACCTACATACCTGTACTTGATCAAGGCGTGAATGCACACCCCCATCACTCATTAGTCCAATAAGATGCAAGGTGTTGTTTGCAAAAGATTCCTTGATGTAATTGAAACCTTCATCTTCATAAATTTTTCCAGATTCAAGAGCTGCATCCACGAGTTTTGCACTAAAAGAAAGAAGCAAAGATTGATAAGCAAATGTATACAATGGGAGGGAATACGAATCATAAGCATGAGGTAATTAGGGTTAAATGAAGGATCAAAATCTCACCCTTGGGCATAGATTCTTCCAGCACCAAGAGCATTATGTCCGACTTCACTGTTTCCCATGTCATCTTCAGTGGGAAGTCCTACAGCAGTACCATGAGCCCTCACCAATCTCCATTTATCAGGGGCACCCTATAGCAAAAGACATACACATCAAAGGCTATTCAAATCATCTGATTACTAATCGATCAAAGAGCAATAAGTTCGGAACAACTGATATCGGAGTTTCCGCCCTAAGCTCAGACAAAATCACCTCCGATTACCAATTGAACTACCCTCATTTTACTTTTACATAATAGATGTACTGATCAATCTTCGATTGCATACATACCGAAATCATAATCAGATCTTATTAAGACATACATCAAAAACATGTATATAAATTTGTTCACAATCGTTGATTCGTCATGGTTAAACTCGCTTATTTCTATTGATCTAGAACCAATAACTATATTCAGTTGGGACGTAAAATACATCTACGAATCAAGATCAGTGGTCCTTAAGTCCTTTAGATCTAATTAACAAACAAAAACGACTATCTGCCATTTATGTGGATCAAAATTAACATATATGCATACAAAAAGAGATATACAGATGTACAGCAAGTAGAGAGAAAGCGAGTAGTACGTTTTTGAGAGAATCCATGGTTGGGGTTTCTGCTACATGGATGCAGTTGAACTTATCGGGAGAGGCTTCACCCCATCCATCCAAAACAATCATGGCTACCAGCTTCCCCTTGGGTAGCTTCGGGTGATCGGCCAATTTCCATGAAAATCCAGTGCTCCCCATCTCTCGCTGTCTTTCAATCTCAGTCTTTTCTCTCTAGATCTTCGTTTGGGTTTGATAGTGAAGCTAAAGAGTAGGTAGATGTCTGCGGCGATACCACATATGTCTGCAATATTTTATACTGCAATTTCTGATATTTTTTTTGTAGTGCCAAAAAAGTCCCCCAAGGATTACCCATAGTTCAAAATAGCCCGTTGGTTTATTGATTTGAATTTTCCAAGTAAAATAAAAAACTCAAAAAAAAAAATCATAAAATTCAAATAAAAAATACATCTAAACGCTGAATAAACTATATACTTTTTTATTTTTAAAAACTTGTTATATTTCATTTTAGGTGTTCTTACATTAGATTTTTCATTTTAGGTGTTCTTTTATGCTGAATTTTCAAATCACAATTAGTTTTTTTCTACTATTAGATTTTTTTGAAATTTATAGATTTGATTTTTATATAAAAGTGTTTTCTTATTCTAATATTAAAATATATTACAAACATCTGATTAAATATTAAGCATATTTATTGAAAAAAATATAAGAAAAAATATATAAAACAACATTTAAATTGAATGGATATGTTCTTACTTCTCATCAAATATTATTATTTGATAGGCTTCATCAGGGAGTTTATTTACCGGATTGTATTGTAAAGTATTAATCATTAACAATTCATTTGTTAGGTTTTATGTGTCAATTATGTTGTTAGTTTATCCAGATTTTGGAGGTTAAAAAAAACTATATGATTATATATTTATAGTTGACATTTGTAAAATTATATCTCTTAACTTTATTGAATAAAAGCATAGTTAAAAAATCAGTTGGTTTATATGAAAATACATAAAGGGGTTTTCTGACAAAATTTCAAAAAATGTTAGTTTTCGATTATCCCAATAAGTTAAGGGATTAGTTTTCGATTATCCCAATAAGTTAAGGGCCTTAATCATGCAAAATAGAAATAATGAATTATTTGCAAAAGTATGAAAATACAAAGGGCTTTTCTAACAAAACCTCTAACTTCTGTCATTAACTTGTTATATTCTTATCAATCCCATCATTGATTAATATCTTTTAACTAACTTATGAACGTTATCATCAGTTTTTTTTTTTTTTTTTTTCAAATATATGTCATGGTTTGAAAGGGAAAACGGTTGGCATTTGGGGAGGCTTTTTGAAAATATTATTAGTATTTTTTATGTTGAAAAGACTTTTGCTTGCATGACCCTATTTTCTTATATATGATTGTTGTTTTGTGGTCAAATATGTGAACTTGTTATAGTTAAGTCCATCAACTTGCTTAAAAACGTAAAAAGAGGGGTTCAAATTAATATTAACATAACTTCAATATGTAACGAACTTTTCTATTAGTAGTTAAATATTTTTTGTTAAATATTTTATTTAGATAAAATATATGCGTATAGAACGATGTGGATTGAAAAAAATAGGAAGAGAGAAGGGTGCAAATGCAAATCCTATAAAAGGAGGGTTGGCTTTGAAATAAAAGGAAATGAAAAGAGAATATTCGAGAAGCATCTAGTAAAATAAGCAATTGGTGGTTTAACGCAAACAGCGTGTGTTGTGACGCCACACCATATTCATTTTTCATGCCTCTTCTTTGAAAAGTCAAACTGACGCAGCCCAAACTCGAATGCGCCCACCGTCTGTCTCTATACATAAACTTTTGAGTAAATTACAGTTTTGGTCCCTGTATATTCTCACTTGTCCAACCTTTGCATTGTTGATGGAACTCATCCCTGCAGTTTGGAAAATTAGTCCGAATAAAAAAACAATTTTATCCTACTTAATTTTTTTCTTGTACTCATTTACAATATTTAATAATAAGTATAAAAAAGTAATATATTTTATGATGTATACATATTTGTTCAGTTTTTATTTATTATTTTATTTTTATTTTTTATTTTCTTTTCATCCATATTTACTTCTTCAACTCGTTTAAGTTGTATATATTCAGTCCCTATGACCGACTACTCCAGATAAACCGGAAATATTGACTTGATATTGTAATATATTTTTCATAATATTTTTTGTACATTTAGTCCTTAATATTTTTTGTTGCAAAATAAGTTTTGTTGTTTTTGTACACATTCAATACTTATGATTGATTTCTTTTGAGTTTCTCACGGCATCCTATGTAGGACAATCATTAATGAGGTGTTTGAGATTGTTGATGTTTGTAGCCACCATAGTCTCAGCCGTTTGGTTGCTTAGGTTTTGTGGTTTGACTTAGGTCTTTTGTTCTAAATGTCGTAATTTCTTCACACGATCTCGGATTTTAACGATATTTATATTCACACGTTCATATTTCAGTCTACTACAACTTCGTTTAGATTACTCTCGTTAAAAAGTAATACATTTTTACTTACGATATATATATATATATATATATATATATATATATATATATATATATATATATATATATATATATATATATATGTGTGTGTGTGTGTGTGTGAATATTTTTTTTATAAAATCGTAAGTAAATATATATTACTTTTTAATGAGAGTGATCTTAACGAAAGTTGTAGTATACACAAATACAAATGGGTGAATATAAATATCGTTAAAATCCGAGATCGTATGAAGAATTTACGACGTTCAGAACAAATGATCTAAGACAAACTACAAGACCTAAGCAACCAAGAAGCTGAGGTTGCGATGAACATAAGTAGGGGTGAGCAACGGAACAGGGTACCCGCTTTCGGAACCGGAACCGCCGTAGAACCGTTGGTTCCGGTTCCTTAAGTTTTGGAACCGCCATAAGCGGTTCCTGTTCCGGTTCTTATTTTCTTGGAACCGCTACCCGTTGGATACCCGCCAGAACCGGTATATATACATAATATGATTATCTAAATTCTAAAATATCGTTGTTATTTTAAATTAAAAAGAAACTTAAAAATGCTTTTGTAAAAAACACAACTCGATAGTTACAGTGGGTAATATTTAGAGTTTATACTATTAAAAGTAGTTACAGTGGACAATCATTATAGTTTATACTATTAAAATGACAATGAAAGTTGACATCTATATAGGAGAATATTGGTTAATCAACTAACAGAGGTTGGCAACGTGTAACACCCCAAGTTCAGAAGCAAGAGTTCAGGGAAGTAAAGTGTTATTAGAAGGATGGACTCGGCGAGTTGGAGCTATGACTCGTCGAGTCGGAGCGTGTGAAGAGCACGTGATAAGTGGTCTGACTCGCCGAGTCGGCGGCTGGACTCTACGAGTCAGTACTGGAAGAGGAAAACCCTAATCTTAGGGTTTGCACCCTATTTAAAGGACTTAACGTCCTCCCCTCAGCCCCCTTACTACCCTTTGAGATCCAGAAACCCTAAAAGCGTGAGTGAGAGCCCTTGGAAGCAATTTGGAGCTTAGATAAGTGATTTTGTGAAGAGATTTTGAAGATCAAGGAGCTTGGATCAAGGAGATTTGTGGAGATTCGGCTTATTCTTCAGTGGGAGGTCATTTTGGAGGTAACGAATCGTTATCCTTGACCTTCTCCTTTCTAGACCCATCTCTCATGGAGTTTTAGGGTTTGTTTGGAGATAATATGATGAGATCTTGGTGCATGAGTTAGATCTGGAGCTGAAACTCCAGATCTGAGTTCTTTTTGGATCAAATATGCAGAAAGCCCTTCTAATTGTTATGCAAAAGCCATTCCCCATGAGTTAAGTTCCTTTCTAGCTTGGTTTTTGGAATTATGGGACATGAAGCACGTAAAGGTAGCAACTTTATGTGCTAAGGCACTCTAGGGACCCAGATCTATTGTTTGGAGCAAATGAGTAGATATGTATCTTTCGATTATGGGAATACCCGTATCAACTCGGCGAGTCTAGGAGATGACTCGGCGAGTTGGGCTAGGGCTTCAGGCATTGAGTCGCGTAGTGACTCGGCGAGTCGCATGGGTGAACTCGGCGAGTCATATGTGTTGGATTAATGTCTAAGTCCATAACTATATTTGGTATGTACTTGACCCGACCCGGCATGGTCCATTTGGGTTGCAATTCACCGGCACAATTTATATGGATAGTCTTTTGAGAATAGTATATTTATGATTTATATTAATATATTATAAGTTCTAATATATTAATATGGAATCATATTATTTAATTAGTATTGATCAAGAATTAATTTAGAATTAATTAAGTGATCAAAAAGAACTAATTAAATATGGACTCTTATATATATGGAATGGGCCAAGTTCATTTAGGTTGGGCTAAGCTTTCATAGATGGTCCATGGAGCTTTTAACCCATGGATCCTATGTAAATGAAAGGTCATGGGTATTAGGGTTTACATGGATGTAACCCTAATCCTCCATAATATATAAATGGGTCCTTGGCTCACAAAATTGGCACAAGTGTGTGAAAATAAGAGTGGGCCGATTTTAGTGTGCATACATATTCTCTCAAGTTCTTCCAAGGTGTTTTGGTGATTTGTGATTCCATTTGAGGCTTCCACACTATTGGGGCTAAGCTCTTAAAGCTTGAAGACATCAAGCTACATCAAAAGGTATGTCATCTAACTAGAACTTTGTAGTATAGGTGCTTCATAATTTGTAGTATAGGTGCTTCATAATTTGTAGTATAGGTGCTTCATAATATGCTAGTTAGGATGAAACCTTGGAATAGTTAATATTTGCATGTATAATAGAGAAAACATAGATCCAAGGTTTATAGGGTTGCATGTACACCATAGGAGTGTTAGAATGCTCAAAACCCAACAATATGATGATGAGCTTGGACTCGACGAGTGGAAGAACAACTCGGAGAGTCTGATGAAGATTGTCGTGGACCCGGCGAGTCGGTTCTTGGACTCGGCGAGTCAGAGTGCAAAACCCCCAACCTCTTCTGGTTAGATTCAGATTAGTGAGTTGAGTGGTGACTCAGTGAGTTGGACAGGATAGGACTCGGAGATTGTTGAAATCGACGAGTCATGGGGTGACTCGGCGAGTTGAGTCGTGTTATGAGAGTTTCCTGAGTTTAGGAACTCAGTGAGTCAATGGGTTGACTTGGCGAGTAGGGTCAATCAGGAAGGTGGACTTTGACCAGTTTGACCTTCAGGGGTATTATGGTAATT